ACTTCTGATATTCAGATCGAGTTCTAGGTCAAACTGGTTTGTTCGACTTTCAAGATATCATATCATAAGTTCTAGTGAGTTCGAGAACCGAGGTACCACTGTATATCTATTTGTATTGTATTTTAACTATTTTGTGTTTATTGATTCCAAATCAATTGAAGCGCAGTTTTTAAGAGAGAGTCCGCTCACTATTTTGCACAAAAAGTTAATCTTTGCCAGTAGATGGAGACACTCCACACAGAAGCAACCCAAATACTCCAGTTTAACACTAGAGCTACTGACCATTTTATTTTCTGGTGAAAAATACGTAGGACTCCTAAACCTCCGCAGGCCTTCAGCCCCATTGTCCTCCTGCTTTTGTTGTGCAAACGCACCAGTTACCTGTGAACCCTGGCACATTTGCATTTGTGTGCTAAGACTGCTACCTCAAATCCAAGGCAGCCCGAACATGTGTGTGTGACATGGGAACCTTCACTGAAGTTTGTCATATCTATACAAAATATCCCACATGCTGCCAGACCTGCAAAATGAAAGACACACATTCACTAAGTATATGGAAACACAAGTTTGTTTTATTGTAAAAATAGAATGAAAATAGAGTGAAAATAGAATGAAAAGTTGCTAATAGAAGAAATGAATAGATTGAAACCATGCTAAAACATCAGTCGCCAATGTATGTTTGTACACAAATGTCATAAGCTGCGTGAAGTTCATGGTCCATGGTTGATGACGTGCCCGTACACTCAGTTCATTTGTCTCTGTGGCCACTCTCCCACTGTGGGATTCAATAGAATTATAAAGAACATACAATGAATAGAGGAAAAGGAGAATATAGCTTAAAGCAGGGCATGATGAAGGGGGGAGGGGGTTCATTCTAAAAAATGCAGTTAACTGAAACGAGAACTGACTGGCGTCGGCAGGGCAAGGTTACCTAATCGGGACCGATAGAGGGAGCAGACAGAAAAACGTCAGCGGCTCTTACGTATCTGTAGCCTTCCACAAGGACAAGTCCTAACCGACTAACTAGAGCAAGTGTCAAACATGTGGTTGTCACATAGACGGAAGGTACCGAGAGAGGGGGGGAGATGCCCAAAGGGCTTTAAAAGGGATACAGCTGATACATATAGCAGAGCTGAATGTACATGCTGAATGTACAGTTGTGGCCAAAAGTTTACATACACTTGTAAAGAACATAATATCATGAAGTTTGGTTCTTTTATGACCCAGCAGATGTGATCACTTTTTTCTGTTAACCCATAATAAAGTCATAAAAGAACCAAACTTCGTGAATGTTTTTTGTGACAAAGAAGTATCTGTTCCATTCATTCTATCAGAGAAAAATCAGAGTTGTAGAAATAACAGGAAACTCAAGAAAGCCATGATATTATGTTCTTTACAAGTGTATGTAAACTTTTGGCCACAACTGTATGTCAGATAGTCGCTCCCTGATTATAATCAGTCAAGAGAATAAACCGGTGATTTGCAACTTCTCCCCGTGTCAACTGTGAATCTCTTCTCATCCACGGACCCGGTGGAGACGGCGTACTCCAACAATTTGGGGGCTCATCCGGGATCACCAGGAGATTCGCAAGATTCGGCTAAGAGTTGACGCAGCCTACTTGGACACAGAGAACTGCAGGGCCCGACCAGATGAGTAAGCCCCTCACATTCTTCTCTTTGTCCTGAAGCTTCTGAGTCTTTTTCCCCTTTTTATTTAACTTTTCTTGGGGAAAGATTAGATAAGACGGTCAGTTATGTTCACTTGTAATGTTTGTGACTTTAAATGCATCTCATTGACTGAATACCTGAAGCACTGCCGATCACACAGACAATTTTAACAATGTTCATTTTAGATGTGGGTATAAAGATTGTGGAAAAAGATTTTTCCACATGTCTCCGCCTCCTGCTCAGCTCGAGGTCCCGGACCAGCATCGGCCTGTCCCGGTCCCTGCTCCGGTCCTCCCAACCCTAGTCCCAGTCCCCGAGGAGGGCCCAGACAATCCAGCCACCGCTCCTTCCTCCTTGGAGGAGGAGCTTGAGTGGGATCCCTTGGGGACCTCCCTTCTGACTCCTTCGCCCTTGCCCCAGCAAGGCCGACACCCCCCAGAACCCCGCCTTCCCGTGTCCCGTAAGGGGAGGGGACACAAACGTCGGGCCCGGGTCCCGCCCGCCCTGCCCCCTGGCTCGCCCGTGCGTCCCCTGGCCGTGGCTTGGTGGTTGCCTGCGGGTCCTGTGGCGCCGGCTCGGTGGTCGCCTCCCGGT